TGCAAAGCTAACTTAACGCTAACATGGCTTATGGTTAGATTGATCGCTGAAGAGCCACATTAGAAAGAATGGCAACCGGTTAGCATGCTAAGCAATTAGTCTACTTCGGAGAGGTATGTCTTGGAACGATAGCAAATACCAAAAATCCGTTGAGTCATTTCTGTGCGGCTCAGTCCAAAGATCATCTGATCCAATTTTGGACAAAATTTGGAGGAGTAGCAGCAAAAAACTTTTTCATGGCGGACAAACAAAATGATGGAAAATGAGATATCGACAGATTTGGCATAAGTCAAGGAATGTACTGAAACAGTGAAGCCAATATTTGGACAATGTTTTCAAAAGTTCTAAGTGTTTTTGCAAAAATCTCTATCTTTGGAACACTAGGTGGCGCTGAGTTCAAATTTCTCAGGGAACTCTGGGACATGCTGTAGACAGGGTGGCCGCGGTTCCTTAAAATGTCTTAAAATTTTCCTAAAATAAGGCCTTAAAATGTCTTAAATTCAGATTCAGTAGGTCTTAAATATTTTTGGTCACATTACCACAAACATTTCTCCAGTCTGACGGACCCAGTGAGTGTCCATCAAGGGTACTTTTTCTCCGCTGTAGTTACCGCGTCATCGGAGAGAATTGCGGTTACAGAATACAGAACACCAGCTCGCTGTCCAGCCGCCGAACTACTTTAAATGGGTTAATGCAAGTTTACTGAAAAATAGCTTGAGAATTGTACTTGCCCGACAGGACTAATAGCCTGATTGAAACTTAAGTGACAAAATATAATCACGCATCAAAACGTCTAATCTAATCAAATTAGTGTAAACGGCACACATAAAGAAACTCGCAGAACAAACATACTGAGGTAAAAATTCAAAATGTTTAGTTTGTTTATTTATAGCATGATATAGTCAAGTAACATACCATGACAAGCGAGCTATTTTGCTGAATATTTTCACATTGCAAATGTTACATTGATTTTAGTTCAACATACAAATAGTAAAGTATTTGAAGTTACTTACATTTTTAGACACCGTTCACTGTTTTGTTCTATTTCACCAATGAAAATAGTTCCAAACAAAGATCAGAACAGAATTGTTGCGCACACTCTCCAAGCAACACTAACATTTTTGTTACTGAATGATTCAGCTGTTTGAAGGAATCGGTTGAATAAGTGACTTACCGCCACCTACTGTCGGTTTAGTCTCCTGCTTAAAAGTATGCATTTTTCCCCAACATTTCTTATTTGTATGTTCAATTTTATTTACAACATTAATCCCATAACATTATTTATTGCTGTTGTAATTTTGTAATTATTTAATTTGATTGGTAACAGCCCTGTAGTGTATTAAATTTCTTGATCAATTTGAAAGGT